ACTCCAGCTTGTTTCAAGTTAACACAAACTAAATAGTACAACGAGGAAGGAGGGCCCATTTGAGCAATGCAATCCCAAGCAACCCTTTGGCCCTCTTTCTGTGTATATGTGGTAGGTGATTTTTTTTGAACATCTTGCTGTTGTTGGCTAGGATCTTGTGTTTGTAGGTATAAGTCAGATTAAAAATTCAAACTCCAGAAAGATATAGGGCACCCTTGATTCCAGAAATTACCTGAACAAAAGACCGTGACCCTTCCTTCCACCTTATCCATGATCTCTCTACTGAACCCCCAACACCCACTCACTCCTCGCCAACCTCGCCACTACCTCTGCCCTCAGGTCTACTTTCTTCAAGAGGCTGGATCATTTTTCAAAACCTCTGGGAAGTCTGGTGCCCCAGGAAAAGCAGAGAACACTACAGGCAGTGCTATTAGAACCAGCAGGCTGGGTGGGGGCAGAGGGCTGGTTCTTCCAGGAAAGTCGGCGTACTGTACAGCACACAATACAGCCCTGCAGGAGTCTGCCTTCGCCCTCTCCTGCCCACGTACTCCTCTGTGAACACTATCTGCTGACTCTCTGCTCTTCTTTCAAGACTTTGTTCAGTTCGGCTCTCTGAGGCCTCACTGTGGGGACAGTAGTCTCTTCTTATCTCCACTTCCAAAGTACCCTGAGCCCACTGGTGTGTGGGAAGTACACCTTCTGTTGTTCTCTTTACATGTTGTTCTCCCCGCAAAAGACTTGGAACTCCCTAAAACGGCTGGATACCTCGCTCGGTTTCGTGTTCCTTCACCGGACTACGCACACTTTTCTCAATTGCTAGCTAGCCTCTGGAGCTGCAAGAGAAATAGTCTAAGATTTCTGTTCTCAGGCTGGCAGAGGTCAAGTAGGGAGATGCATGACAATAGACGTGTAGAGTGTGTGCAATAGCATGTGCACTGGGTGCTATAGGAATGCGCAGCTGAGCATCCTTCCTTCCTGGTCAATGTTGTTAAAGGCTGGAGAGTTTACAGGGGTGGACGGGAGCCACCCTTGATCTGTGCTGAGTGCTGAATGCACATAGGGCCTGGAAGGGGACATTTGCTGGGAAATAGTAGACGAGAAGGTTGTGGGATACAGAAGGCCAGAGCTCTGTGTTCAAATAGGAAAAATAAACCAGAAATTCATAAAATAATTATACTAAGTTTTCAGTAAGGTATTGGTTTATAGCACAACATACTAAGGGTTAGGAAATTAGAGAAACATTAAGCTGGTCATGAACTTCCACTGAAAATCTCTCAAAGACTTTGACTCACTTAATGGCAAACTGAGTGGGAAATCTGAGTGTGGGTTTCAATCTCACTTTGCCAGGCCTTACACTGGTGACAGTTTTTCCCTTCCTAATCTCTACGTCATGATTTGAAGACACTAAGATATGTCACTCACAGTTAGATTAAGGATAAAAAGGATTCCATATTTGTGCTAATTTGTGTTCAATTGGCTAAAATCTTGGCATATCAATGAGTTAGCTATGTGTTTTATACATAGTTGAGCCTTGAGGATAGGGCAGCCTGACTCTGATACCCGTATGATGCATTAGGAATTTTTCAAGTGGTCTGCGTGTTGGGTAGAAGGTGTTCTTCCTGTGAAGAAAGTGTGGTGTAGACAGAAGTTTCACCCACAGACTTCCTCTCCCATAAAACTCTAACAGATGCACCATTCCCTTGGGCATCTGTTTCCTCCTCTGTAGTCCATGATAAATGGCGTAGTGACATTATAAAGTCATCCCTACAGGTGATCTTACATAGAGGTATGATTCCATTATACTAGGTCAGTCTTAGGTGAGGGAGAGACCCAAGGAGCTCCATCCAGCAGATCCAGAATGACCTGCTAAATGAATATGGGCTCTTTTCAGTGTGTGTCAAAGGCTGCCAATGGAACTTGTTAAGTAAGGGTAATCAACGTGTGTGTTCAGGGACACAGTAAAATAACCCTTTCTGTCCTTGTGCTTCTTAGTGCTGGAGAGTCCTTGTGAGAAGAGTGCCTGCCTTGTCCCTCCTTACCATCTGACACCAGCAGGACTCCACTGTTTTCACTACCATGAAGGTGGCACTGAAAAGTGTGCCATGGGATACTGGGGAGTTCCTATCCACTGGCTATGCTGAAGGAACTTAGGTAGAGGCCCAGGTATCCCAGTCAAAGGCATAGCCAGTTGGTAGTTCTTATCACCTATATACTTCCCATGCTTCTAGCTCAAATGCTGCTAAGAATTGTCTCTCTAGACTGTATGAAGGTGGAGAGCACGCTTCCTTTCCCGGAATCAAGGTCAATGACATTTTGGTATAAGTGCCACTAAATCAGAAGGCTTGTCTCTAATCAGACAAGCTTGAGAAATGCTGAGTATGTCCCTGTCATAGAAGAGACACACAGAAGCACAGCTAAGGATGCAAAGCGAAATATTTAGAGTTCCCCCCAAATTATTAGTGAAACACGTTAATTCATTCATGAATAACATTAGGACGTTTATTTCAGAGTACTGGGGAACAGTTTGAAATCCTCCCAATTCCTAGCTGCTAGGAAAATGCTGCTATTTTATTCTCATTTTTATATTAGTTCTCTGAGATTTTCTAATGCATTTTGATCATATTCATTCCCTTCCCCTGACTCTGAGTTCCACCTCTGCTCCTACCCACTTAATTTTGTGTTCTCCTAAAAAAATATATATAAATACCATTAGGTATAATTTGTACTGCCCATTGGGTGTGAGACCTTCTGCTAGCATGTGGTCAACCCACCAGATGCCATACCCTTAAAGAAAACATCTTCTCCTTCTCTCCATGACTATCAGTTGCCAACTTCTTCTTAAATAAGGGTGGGACTTTGTGCCCACTTTCCCTCCCCATACTGGCATTTTGCATGTCGTGAGCATGTGCCGGTTATATTAATGTTGTCTCAACTGCTGTGGATTAACATTTGCACCTGTTCTGCCGTGTCCAGAAAACAGTTTTCTTGTGGCGATCCGCCACTATCGGTTCTTACCGCCTTTCTGCGCTCCCTTCTTCAATGATTTCCCAAGCCTTAGGAGGAGCATGTATAGGTGTCTTTCTTAGCACCCAGTATTCCATAGTCACTATTCTCTGTGTGTTGACAAGTTCTCTGTGTTGGTTTCTACACACTGAAAAATAATAATAAAAAAAAGCTTCTCTGATGAAGGTTGGGAGATATATTAACTGATGAATATAACAATAAGTCATTAGGAGTCAACTTAATATATCCATTTGGCAGAGTAATGGAGATTCTACTACATACCGCAGGCTAACAAATAAAAAGCCCAATGCCAAGATTAAGTCACCTTTTTTGGAGCTGTTGACCAGTGAGACCCCATAGACCTCCCCAGACATTACAGGCTATTGAAAACACTGTTCTTACAGAAGTCTTAGCAAATGCATCCTCTTACCTAAGGCTGAGCCCTGTGCTCTTGGTGAAACGAAAGTGGCACATGGTTTGGACGCAAACTGTCAATAAGAAGACATGTTTACCCTCCCAGGGGTTCTTTAAAACAACCCTGTCTTTATTAAATTGGAGGTTTGCCCATGAATGGGTCTGAAGTAGACAATCAAAATTGACTCCATTTATCCAGCAAATCTCCGTTGAAAAAATTAACCTTTAAATGGTCTTCTTTCCTTCCTATTCAACTGGATACATTGTGTGGAAAATTCCTAGAAAACACTGAAGTTGAGACTTCACTCTCCTCCTGTCTGCTCTTTTGCATTTCCTTATGAAGAGGGAGTGTGGGGTTGATGTATAACTTTTCTAGTTTGTGTTTGATGGGACCCTTTGGAACCCTACTAGACAAGGAAAGAGTCATCACTAGTAGCTTTTACAGTAAACTCAGAAAAATTCCTTCCTCTCCTTCAGCACTTTGCTGCTTTGAGCATGAGCCATAGCTGTAATAGGGCCTTTCCGATAAATGCTAAAGTTATGTTTTCTTTCCATGGCTCTTCAGAATATCTTTTTCTTCCCGCAAAATAGCTGGGGAGGTATCAGGAAACAGACTCAGCTCTAGTCGTCATCGGATCATGTTACCTCTTCCGTAAGGCGCGTAGCTTGACAAGCTTTCTCCAGTCCCCCCCTTTTCCTAGAACCTCTTCAGAACATATTCAAACCACAGCATACTGTCGCTGCTGTTGTGCCCTGAGACTTTGAAAGCATACAGTGTGAAGAGCGTATGTTTTTTTATCTGAGTTGATTTGGGAACCATCCACATGAAGTGAACCTGAAGAGGTGGGCTCATCTGAGTTTTATATCCGTGAACAGAGTGTGAACGCTGGGGCCCCGCCTTAGCTGAGTTCAGATTTCCCATCAAACCTGTCGGTAACCCTTATAGTCCCAACCATATATGACTTGTTTTCTCTTTCTCATGTGCATAAGGGAGGTAACCGTGGTCCTGCCTTTCCAAGGACTAAATAAGCAATCAGAAAGTTGATGTGCTGGTATTCAGGAGCTGGAGGTTTGAATCCCAATGTGTGTCTTACTTAATACATCATTTTGAGAAATTCATTCGCCACTTGGGGTCCCTTCTCCCCTCAACTGTGGTTAGGGCCCACAAAGGGACTTATCGAGTTATTTAGATTCAGTGAAATGACACGTGGGGAACATAAAGTGGAACCCGGATTCTGGTAAGGTCCCAAATAATGCCAACTATTGCTTTCGAATGGGAAGCCAGCATATTCGGTGGCAGCAGGTCATCCTGAAGGTGCCACTCTTCCTGTGGCTGATTTCCATCTTTAGACCTGCAGTAAGGCAGATCCACGATGTAGGCGCAGGGCTCTTTTCCAAAGGGCTAGCACGTAGAGCACTTATTCAACAGTTAACATTCTGTTCTCTTACATGGCACCAAGGCCTCCGGGAGGGAAGACAAATTCTCGGGATTTCCAAAAGCTTATGTGCTCTAAGTGTGGGTTGGAGGCTTTTTGCTTTTAATTGAACACAGCAGCCATTTTGTGTCATGTTGATTTCCTCAGGATATGAATCAGAGAGAAAGAAGTGAACTCTTGTCACAGAAGAAAGGGAGCGATTGGCAGAAGACTTTTCTCTGGTAAGGCAGTGTACACACTTGTCCTTTTCGTAGTGAGTCACGGCCTATGATACATTTCACAGCAATGTCTAGGAGTTTCCAAATCTGGAGCTCGGCACTCCAGCCAGATAAAGGAGAGGGGAGAGAGATTATTCCAGCCCACCTAGCTGCCATTTGGAGTGCTCGAAGGGAGCCTGATGAAAATGCACATCCTCCAGCCCTGCTTTAGTCATACTTCAAACTCATTAAGAGGAGAATTAGCTAATCATGTTCAAAATTACGGTTTTTCAATTGCCAGTTTTAGCATTTCAGGAAAAAAAAAAACCCAGCCAGAATCTCTCCACCAGTCTTTATGTATTTTTTAGCCATGACTTAATGCTGACATCCATTTTTCTTTTCATTGACATGATGTTGACTGACCTGTTTGTCTTACAGGGACACCGTACAATTTTTAAAAATTATAAAAGCTTGTTTTTTTTAAAATATAAAGAATCCCAACTAATTTTTGAAAATCTCTTATGCCCACTTTATCCAGAGAACAGGGTACTGGGGGCTCCTATTCCAAACTTGCTTCCTAGCTATCCTAATGACAGAATAAAAAACACTAACATTTTGCTATCTTCACCATGATGTGTTCAGAATGTAGTGTCCTTCATGGTGCATTATAACTACTTAAAATGTTGGGTGGATGAATAAATAGGGCCTCTTATCTACATAGCATTTAATATTCTTTGGTGATCCTTCATTTTCCCAGAGACCCTAACTGGTATAGTCTGATAATTACCTACTCCCCGCCGCTACCAATGTCTTGCCGTTTTTCTCTTTTCTTTTTTTTTCTTTCTTTTTTTTTTTTTTTTTTTTTTTTTTTTTTTTTTTTTTTTTTTTTTGTT